TTGGAATAGTTTTCCCACAGGGGAGGTTTTTTCCGAACCCCCACTTAGGATCTGGCTTGTGCCTTTGTGTGTAAGGGTTTCTGTCCTTTCCAAATTTCTGGATTTTATTATTATTTAATACTTACTAATGTAACTCTGGATACTTTAATCCTCTTAAGTGGTTGCTGCTGACTTTGGGCTCAGTCCTTCTCCCTTTTCAAGGAATTTTACCATTAGACACCTCTAAGTTGAGTTCTGGTGTAGTTTGTAACTGATTTTACTGGCAACTCTACTTGGCTGTAAAATGCAGGTGTGAAGCTCACTCTGTGCAAGAACACAGTTTGGATGAGGAGTGGATGGAGTCTACAGGCAGCAAGCTCCTGTCTGCAGACTTGCATCTTATTCTCCTCAAGTGCCAGTCCAGCATCCAGAAGGAAGCCACCCCAAAGGCTCAGGTCAAAGGAATTGTCTGTGAACCTGACTGGGGATTTCCCTGCTAGCTTAGGAAGCCATAAATGTGTTCCTTTCCCTCCAGGTGCCCATCTGGCTGCTGAGAGGGAGAAGCAGCTTCTCTCCAGAGCTCTCTCTGTGCTGCCTTGACTGGAAGCCACAGAAGCAAGTGAGGGTCCTAGATGTTTTACTCCCGAATATGTTGTAAGGAAGTAGTAGCTGCACTCTGAGTCTTATTCTGGGTAGGCTGTTCAGGAGGCTGTACTGGACACAGCTCGGAGAAGGTGTTTCTTAGTGGCATGTGTCACATCTCAGAAAATGCCAGCCTTTCCTGTTCCTTTTCAAAATGTGGCTTAGGTGGTGGTGGCTTTGGATCCCAGTGAGCAGTGCTGGAGTTTCTTGTGATTCCTTTCAGTGAGACAGACTTCCCAGGAAAGATGATGCTTTCTTCAGTACTCCTACACAGTCAAATATTCACCAGCTCCAGTCCTCTCTGTTTATCACCACCAGGACTCACAAGGACTCCACCATTTGCCAGCAGATTTTCAGGAAACAGTTAAGGAATGTGAAACTGAGCATCAGAGCATCCCATGGACTGTCCCATCATCCACTGGCCATGACTAAAGGGACGATGCTGATACTTCCTTGTCACATAATCCTCACTCAGCCTGTCCTGGGGGGAGAAACATCGCACCCTCAAATAGAGAGGTGACAGGTAAATGTATTGCAGTGGGCTTGACTGTAAGAAATCCAGCCTCCCCTTCAGAGACGCTCCTTAATGAACTGCTTGGGAAACTTTGTTTCCCAAGGTGAGCCAGGAATATAGAATTCCTGGAGTTTATTCTCTTTTCCTGCTCTCAAACCTGGTGTAAAGGTGCCACCCTGTCCATGGAGCAGGACAAGTCCTGCTGTCCAAACTGCCCTCTTTTTTTTTTCTTTTTTTCTTTTTTTTTCCCTTGCTTTTTTGTTGACTGGAACCTGGAACTCTGCTGGATTTTAGGCTATTTCCTCTGGTCCTGACATTATTTACCTGGGAGAAGAGGCCAACTCCCACCTCACTACAACCTTCTTTCAGAGAGCTGTGGGGGGCAATGATGTCTCCCCTTAAAACTAAACTTTTCCAAACTAAACATCCCCAGTTCCGTCAGCTGCTCCTCATATGACTTGTTCTCTAGGCCCTTCACCAGCTGGGTTGCACTTCTCTGGACACTCTCCAGCCCCTCAATTTAGTGTGGTCCTGTAGTGAGGGTCCAAGAACTGGACATAGTGCTTGAGGTGCAGCCTCACCAGTGCCAAGTACAGGGGCACAAATCACTTCCCTGCTCCTGCTCACTACCCTATTCCTGATGAAGACCAGGATGCTCTTGGTCTTTTTGGCCACCTGGGCACACTGCTGGCTCATGTTCAGCCCTTTCCATTCCTTAAACCTCTTTCTGAAATCTCTGCTCCCCTAGGAGAGACTCATGAGTGTGAAGGAGGAATAACATTTGCTGGCATTTGGTTTTTAGCTGGATCTCTTTTAAGCATTTTGAAAATCTAGGTTTGCAGCAGTTTGATATGGTGATCACTCAGCTTGCAGCAGGATGTGTCCTGCAGGACTGTTCACTGAATACTGATAAGAGACAGCAATGAACCTCTTTGCTAGTGGGCTAATCAGGCTCTTACCCTGTATTTTTCCTTAAATCCTAATAGTGCTTGTTCATCTTTTTGCTTTTGGTGGAGCTGCACTGTGTTGATGCCTCCCTGGTAATAGGAGAGAGCTTGAATCTCAGCAGACTTTACTAGCATTAGTGTCGCCATGTCTGGTGCCATCTCCTCAGAGGTTGTGAGGTGGGAGCTTCAGTATGGCCTTGCTGGCACACCTGAGCATTCTCAGTCCCTTGTAGCTCTTCCCGTTGAAACCTGTGTTGTTACAGATATTGACTGTGGTTCCCCAAGTGGCATCTACCTTGGTGAAGCAGTTACAACCCAGGGCAGGAAAAGTAGTAGCATGCTACTCATTCTGCTCAGTGAGTTTCTTGGTAGGAAAGCTGTGGCTGCTGGGAGCAGCACTGCAAGTGCTTGATGTCTATCAGAAAGACAGCTTCATTGGTTAAGAAGGAAGAAGTCTGGGACTAGGGAGCAGTGCAGGAAGAGTGACCATTTTTCAGGGAGGGTAAACACATCAGCCTCCTGGTGCTTTCTGAATTCCCAGCACACCACCTCCTCCTCCCTGAGAACTGGCACTGTTGGCTGGCTGGTACCTTCTTTTAAGAGTCGAGGAAGAGATTAGTACCAATACCAACTGGAACAAATACTTCTCAAAACAGCTTGTTTCACTATAATCTCTGGAGATCCTTCTTCCTTAGGGAAAACAGTCCCCTTACGAAACAAGCAAAACCCTCTTCTCTTGGGATGTGCTGTTGTAATTTGTATAATGTTTTCATTTTCCTCGTCCTGCCTAGGGGAGGGAGTGGTCATACCCCGTGTGTCCTACTCAGGTCTCTACTGCTAAAAGTGAGATCTTCACAATGATTCTGAAGTTCCAGAGACAACAAGTAGCCATGCCTGTCTGAGTGTGAGGTGATGTGCCTCTAGCATTTAATTTTATTCTTTCCTAACAAGTCTCCTTATTTATGGAGCACTTGGATTGCCAAACTAAGGCCGTAATAGTTTTCTTCCTCCAAATGGAGGTGTTGAAAGTGCCTGTTTTTTTGACTCCTTTAAAAAATGTCTTTAGTTCATCTACCACATGACTTGTTACACTTCAGAAAGGAGGTTGATTTCTTGTCTTTTGGATGCCCAGCACTGTGGAACTAATTACTGATGACACATTATTAATTTTCTCTGCTAGTAATTGACTGAGTTTTTTTGCAACTGATACGAAGATACTCACTAGCAATCATGAGATTCTCTTTGTTGTCAAAAAGGATCTAGAAGGGACTGAAGCCCTCAGTGCTGTTGTATGACCACAGAAGGAGACTGCATAGGATTGTGTAATGACAAGTAGTTACAAGTGCTTTTATCACTTGAATGTTCTCAGTTATGTTTTGCTGCTTCTCCTCCTGAAGCAGCAAATCCTTTCAACTCCATGTATATGCCTGGACTCTTTCTCACTTGTTCAGCCTAGACTTTTAAAAATCCTTTAGATCTAGGTTATCATTGCTGTGCTCTGATTAAGATATAAATATTTTTTGGTGCAGAAGTGAAGTTTCAGTGCCCAGCTGTTTAACACCTTTTATATTTGGCATTTTTCTCTTATAGATCATCATAGGTTCTACTGTCATTCTGCCAAGCAGAATAAAGGGGTGGAAGGTGATTCTTCATTGAAGCCCCATAAGCTGATGGACTGCAGCAGTGAACCCAAATGAGCAATTAGACTACTAGCTAAAAATATTCATTTATTTTTAAAACAAAATTGCTGAGAAGTGAAATCAAAGCTCACTTAATGTGCACAGTCTGGCGTGTTTGAATGCAGTGTGGACGAGGTAAAAACAAGGCTTTAACTTTTCTAATCCTATGGATACATGAATACAAACAACTGAACTACTGCAGAGGAGCTCACTGAATGGCAGCTCATCCGTGGAGCCATGGTAGCTGACTCTTGTTCCTGTTGGGAAGTAAAGCACATTAGTTTCAAGATCCTTTGTGTTTTACCTGGTTTGCAAGCCCTTGGCTGCTGCAGGTTGCAGTGAGGTGACTACGTATGGAAGTCAGTCTGTACCCTGAGGTGTTGGCCAGACAGAAGATGGAAAAAAAACACCAAGTTGAAAAGTGAACTTTTCCTCTTGCAGTGACGTAATAGCTGAGCCAGTGACATTTGTTGTCCCCAGTCAGACCAGAATTAATTCAGAAGTATCTCCAATGTTTTTGCATCTGTCTTGTCTTCCCCACGCAGCTGTGGAGGAGTCAGTCTGTTGTTCCTGGGGTGAGGGGAGGGAGGGCTCTATGAGGAGGATGATTTAATGTGCAAACACATTAAATCAGGCTCCATTTGTCCTCCTGTTCATTGAGCACCGTGCTGTCCCCTGTGTTTTGGATTATTGGATCTCTTTGGTTTTGTTTTTCATAACGTGTCTATACGTTCTTGGGGGCATCTTGGATCTTGGAGGCCGTTAGTGAGGAGCAGCAGTGAGAGCCAAGTGTGGTGTGAGCATGTGAGCACATCCAGTCCATGGTGTAGTTGGCATCGAAAGACTTTCCAGTAGCTCATATGTTGGCTCTGTCTTAGCTCTGCCAGTTTGTCCACATCCTGATCACTACTTGCCTGCTGGGGCCCTGAACTCCCAAAGGAGGTTGCAGCAGGGCCTGCTGCTCTGCCTCTTTGTGGCTCTGAGGTCCCTCAGAGACTTCACTGGAGAGCAGAGCTGTGTGAATAGGGAATAGCAGATGGGAATATGCCTCAGACCGTCTCGCGTGGGACACACAGGGGACCTTGGGAGGCAGTGGTTATCTGCATGCCTTAGAGGAGCTTTGACAGAGCTTCTGGGGTGGATGTAACTGCATGGGGGTGTCTGGTAGAGCAGCAGTGGCTGCATTACTTGCCTTTCACCTCCAAGTGTCTCAAGTGGCCTGTTTTCTTCTTCCAACAGACAATTTTAGGTACACATGTGACATTTGTGGGAAAAAATATAAATACTATAGCTGCTTTCAAGAACACAGAGACCTACATGCCGTGGATGGTGAGTACTGTTTGACACTTAAGACACCCAAACTAGACTGAGAAGTCCTTGCTGTGTGCTCTGGGAAGGCAGACTGAGGTTCTGCAGGGCACTGCACAGCATGGCACCCTCTCCTCTGTCAGCCCAGGCACAGTCCACTGTGCTGCAGCAAGAAGTTTGTTGTACTTGATTGTCTTTGCGTGCATCAAAATAACACCCTCTGCTGGGACCTGTCGTCCTTGCAGTCCTCCTGCCTGTGCTAAGGTTCATGGATAGGATAATACACTGGAGCTGAGTCCCTCAAGGTAAATTGTCAGTCTGGCTACTCGCTGGGCAAGAGTTCGTTGCCTTTTGGTTTGTGACTTCACAAGATTGTTCCCAACACCCTCCTCTGCGAGAAACCACATTTCCAAGTTGACAAATGCTGCTTTGTCTGTGTTATTCCCTGTAGTAGTGAACTGATGCAGTTGTCAGTGTACCTTACCAGCCAGCTTTCCCTTTGTGAATGTAGATGTAGCCTGGGCTGGTGACACTCAGACAGAGGCAGACACCCTCCTCCAGATGCAGTGTTTGTTTTTTCTACATAGGGGGGAAATAACTGTCTTTGGCTTGCCCCTTGCTCACTGGGCATCTGAAGCTCCTCAACTCAGAACCCACAGATACTCCAAACCCTCACTTGCGTATCCTGCTATAAGCCTGTTGGCATTGCTCCTCACTTGGCCAAGGAGGGAGCCCTGGCAGAGTTTTAGAAAAAGACTACTTGGAATGCAGAAGGTTTTGAGTGACTGGACTGCCTCAGAAAAGCAAGTGGTTTTCACAATATGTGGTGTGCGAAAAATTTGCTAGTTTTGAATGAACTGTGTGGACATCTGAGTGTTCCTTCAGAACAGCCAACATTACCTTTCAGTGCACCACCACAAGCTCCCTTCCTGCCATGGGGAGCCAATATTAAATGAAAGTCACTGTGGGGTGGACGTGTCTGCTTCTTTCAGAAATGTGTCTTCATAGCCATGGTTCAGGAAGCTCTGCCTAGGGTTATGAGAGGGCTTTAGAAACAGCTTCCACTTGTGTCTTGCAAGTACACTGATTGTCTCAGTTCCTCCCAGGGACTGGTTGTATCTCAGCAAACACAAGTGGGAGGCAGCTGTGCATCTGAACTTCTTGTGGGGCTGTGTCAGTGTTAGAACAAAGGCCTTGAGAATCTGAGTATATTAGGGCTGGGCATGCTCAAATAGTTCCTGTGTGAATGCTGCTGGGAAGAGGAGGGACTGGGGCACAGAGCCTGGTTTATTCTGTGGGGCTGAAATACACTGAAGCAGTGTGTGAAATGCAGGAGGAAAACAAGGACATTTAAGAGGATTTAATTTCTGTTTTGTTTCTTCCCCTCCTTCTTCTATTCTGTGTTAGTTTTTAGTGTGGAAGGGGCCCCAGAAAACCGGGCAGGTAAGCTGAGATCCTTCATGTGCTTTATTTCACAAACCTTTTCAAACAATCAGTAATTCAGGCACAGCAGGTCCAATTCTACACTTGCAAGAGTCAAGGGAGCTTTGTCACTGATTGCAGCAGGAGGGGAGTGTCCTCTCTCCCTCCCCTAAAATGTACAGCCAGTAGGTTGATGCCCAGCCCTAGTAGGTACCAGCTTTTGTTGTACATACAATTGATAAGGCTTTTGAAAATCAAAGAAACAGGTGTTTCATGTCTCTGGTGATTTAGTGAATTGTTCAAGGCATAAATTAAATTATTTTATGAAGTGGGTTGGGTTCTGATCTGTTGAAAGCTGTGCTGTTAGATGGTGAAAAGTCACTGGTCAGTATTTGTTAGCTGACTTGCTGGCACACTGCATCCCTGTGCCCTCTTTCAGACAATGGGACATCATTAGACAGGAGATGCACTGGAAGAAAAGCAGAAAATATGAACCAGGGTCTTCAGTGTGTTTGTTTAGTCTTTCTCTGTATTTTTTTAACATGATTTAGCTACAAGGCATGTTACTGATCTGTAAGGGGGTAATACCTGCTTGGGGCACCTGAGGAGGAAAGGGACAAGGCAGACAGAGGGGTCATTTGGTTTATAATTCCTGTCCTGAAATCCTGTTACAGATGAAAGTGTCATTACAGATGCCTTCAGTGCCCATGCAGCTGTAGAAGGAAAACCTGAGGCTGTTGTCAGCTCTGTTGCTGGTTCTGTTCTCTTGCAGACCCCTATGACCAGGCCGTCATAGCAGCAGATGAAGTGAAGGAGGAGGAGCCAGAGCCGTTCCAGAAGATTGGTCCAAGTATGAGTTACTACACAGCTTCAAGTGTGAAAGAGAAAGCACAAGAGTTTCAAATCTGGCATTAGCTGGAGTACCTCTAGGAAAACCAGAACGCAGTGTGTCACACAGAGGTGTTGGGGCCTTAGGGACACTGAAAGAGTTGTTTAGGTTCAAATGAATACCAAATTCCAGCAGCCCTGACCCTAAGAAATGCAGTTTTGTGATGTTTTCTGATCAAGGGCTCTGCAAAAAAAGAGGAAAGAGGTTCAGGAAGGAGGGAAGCTGGCAGCCATCAGAGAGGGGCTCAGGGTGCATTGGCACAGTTCGCAGACGGTTGCATTCACACTGCCTTTCTGCTGGGTTCATCAAACAGATGAGGGTGGAACTAAGAGGGGACCAGACGTTGCCAAACCATTTATCTGAATTCTCTCTTTTGGAAACCCTGGGTTTTTCTTTGCCTTGCTGTTAGTTCTGTACTTCCCAGCACTGGCAGGAGCAGGAGGTGTCAGTCTATTGCTGCACTACTTCATTATTTCAGATATCCCCGAAGGAGGAATTAGCTCAGTTATTGTGGAAGAGCCCCTCCTCCTGCAAGAGAAGGCTACAGTTCCAGTATAAAAGTTCTATAATGAAGACTTAAACTTGGCACCTTGTTTCCTAGTTTGGCTGTCCCTGTTGTCCACACAGCACAGAAGACTTCTGTAACCAGAAGACAAAATTGTGACATCTGTGATAGAGGCTTTAGAAAAAGATTCTCTCCTTGGTTTTGCACACTTATTTGGGATAATGTCCTGTAGCTTGTTCAGTTCTACTGAACCTTTTATGCATTATCTGTCACTTTGGACACTGGCTTGAACTTTGTGTTGAGATAAAAGGGTCTATGAATTACAGAGCAGAGGAGTTCAGATGTGTGGGGAATATACTCCAGTTATGTCACCTTGCCACCAGTGTGTAGTAAGTCAAGGAAGGTGACTGTGTCTGACAGGGCTGCACTCCTTCCTGACCTTGGTCTCTGTTTTATCTTCACAGAAACTGGCAATTACACCTGTGAATTCTGTGGCAAGCAGTACAAATACTACACTCCCTACCAAGAGCATGTGGCTCTGCATGCACCTATTAGTGAGTATCCTGCTGGAGATCTGGTTCTTTAGAGACTGATGTACAGTGGCTGGTGGCAAACGGGGGGTTGCAGGAGAGAGTGTCGTTCTTCTGGTTCCTTCCACTGGACCTGTGGGATTGCAGCTGGCAGGACAAAGAGCATGTGCTGACCAGGGTACTGTAAAGCTGGGCTGGAATCTCCTCTCAGAGGGACAGTTACTGCTAAGTCTGTGATGGCACTGGAGTTTTACCAAAGTCCATGCAATTCTACATGTGTTCCCTGGGGGCTTGATACTATATTTTGTTGTTTAGCTGAAAGTTCTGGTACCTAAAGTGCACTTAACAACGTGATGCACAAAATTTTTAGACTCCCTTAGAATAATAAGTGAACCTACATGCTAGGGAAGAAGCATCTTTGTTACTTGCTTCTGAGAAATTATTTCAGACAGAGAGTTAAAACTGGCTTTCAAAATAATGTAAATTACCCTGGCAGCTTGTTACTAAATCACAGGCAATAAAGGATTTATATCACGGAGCTCAGGAAAAGGCAGTTCTCTGCATACTGCACAATACTACAGTCTGCACTCTGGAGGGACACTACCATCTTCACTCCCCAGAAAAAGGGGAGGTTTTAATGAGTTTTAAGTTTAATTCAGTGCAAACTTCTAGTAAAACAGTTGAGAGAAATTCTTGCTACCTGCTGGTTTTGGGTGCTTTTAAAAGTGTACAGGGAAGTTCTTTACCCCTGAACTTCCTGTTTCTTTCAGAGCATTGCCCAGTGCTTTGTTGGGACTTTATTGCTGTGAGCCATCATGTTCCTCTCTGCCCGTGTCTATCCAGCTGCCAGTGTTTTGGCTGATGATGAAGATGAGTGAGCTGAGCTCATTAGCTCCGTGGGTTTCCTTAGCAGCTCATCCGCAGCCGGCAGAGGGAGCACACACTCCTCCCTCACCAAATTCAGCTTCAGCTGGGTTTTTAAGTAATTATAATACAGCAGCTTTGATTTTAGACATAGAAATAAATCAAGAACATAGTCCAGCATACTGTCACTTTTAAGGGGGATCGAGGTTTGGTGGCTCTTTACAGCTCCCATGAGGGTTCTCTGGAGCGTGGAGATGGACCAGGACCACAGTAGAAGGTGTAGGGCATAAAATACCCCCACTGCCATCAGCACAAAGTTAGTGGCTTCATCTCCCATCTGCACAAGGGTGTTTATGATAACCCAGTGCTTATGACTGCACACATAACAGTTATTCCTAAACATCCCTGCACCCAGAAAAGCTGTTGGTGGTGATCAGCAGTAAGTCAATAATAAGTCTAATATAGGTGGGCCCTCAGACCCCAAGGCTCTGGTGTCCCTAGTCCACCCCTGCGTGGATGGCTGAGGAGAGTATGCTATAAGGACTGTTTATTGAATCTCTGCTCAGCAACAGCAGATTCTTAGCTTCCCAGTACTTCCCATTTCAAGGAGTTTTATCACTATGGACATCTATCCACCCTCCCAACCACCTGTACTAGCAGTCTGCAGCTGCTGGTTCCAGGCCAGGCTCTCCAGCATAAAAGAAAAACAGCTGTTCTCTGAGGGATGTTTGCCTGAAGTGGGCCCTGCAGGTCTGACTGCAGATATGAATGGTCCATGCAAATACCTCCCTTCTCCCTGTGCAGAGTGCAGCTGCAGGGTGTCAGTGGCTTCTTTTTGGCTACCAGAAGTTTTGGAGGAGGAACAACATTGTTTTGAATACTGGGGATGAAGCTGTTCTTGCACTTTGGTTTCTGCAGTAACCTCTCTGTGAAAGCAGAAACAGTTGCCCCTGCTGCAGGCTAGACCAGCAGTCACTGAGATGGCAGATGGGTTTCCAGTCCTTCCAGCAAATATCTTTAATTATGAGGACATTTCAGATCAGATCAAGATAATCTCTCAATAAGGTTTAACCTCCTCCCCATAAACTTTTCTTCTTCCTTTTTTTTTTTTTTTTTTTTTTTTTTTTATTTTTTCCTT